CTATTTAAAAAACTATAAACAAATAAAATATCTATCAAATTAAATAACTTTTAAGTGGTCTTAATAACTTCATAAAATAATGAGTAGTTATAATGACACCCAATGAAAGGGAATCTCTATATATTTACTCTTAATAAATCTTCCTTATGTTTTGATTTATTAAAAGCATTTAAATATTTTCATACCTACACACTTTGATTTTTTTACAATCTCATAGAACAATTCAAAAATAGAATCATTTATTTCCACCAAAAGAAAATTATTATTGTGATCACTTTAGTCATTGGCCATTTGACATATAATTTGATTATTGAAAAATAGTAATGCAAGGCTTATGCAAGGCTTACATAAAAAATAGCATTTCTTAAGGCTATTTAAAATTTTGTTTTTATAATTTTATAGTTTGTAATGAATATTATATTTAAATTAAATATAATAAATTTGAAAAAAATAAAAATAAAAGACACACAACTTTACTAAATCCAACGCATATAAGTTATGGTATTTATTTTAAAAAAGAAAGTAACATTCAGCATTAAAATATCACATTTACTTTTTTGAAAATAGGTAATGAAATATTATTAGTAGAGGTTAATATTACACGATGTAGTATACAAAACATATTAGATCACAACCTTACTCATCCATTGAGTAAGACAAACTACCTACTAGATACATCCTTATAAAGTAGAGCCAAAGTTGGTCAGGAGGGCAGTGAGCCCAATAATGAGGACATGTACCTTTCAAAGAAATATCACATTTACTTATAGAGAGAGATAGAAAGTTATTTGTTGTATACACCTAGTCAAGTAAATTTTTATTAATAAAATGAAGTTAGGTAGTGTTATTAAATGAAAATTTTATCTTCATTGGAATAAAAAAAATTTATAAATAAAATCAAACTAATTTGTTATTAATAAATCTTAATAATAGTCATATTATACATTTTATGGTGTGAAAAAAAAAAAAAGTGATAGAGTTACCATCACATTACATGATGAGGATTTATTTTCCTATCAAAATATGCAATAAACGAATGATTTTACCTCTTAATAGACCTGGCAATTTTTTACCAATTCGTTAACCCACTCATTACCTGTTTGTTTAAAACGGGTTAGAGTCAGATATTTATGACACATGACTCATTAATAACCCATTAAAAGAACCCAACATGTTACAGGTCAATCATTGATAACCCATTAAAAGAACCCAACAACTCACGGGTCAATAACAAATTAACCCACCAAGTTAATGGGTTTGACTCGTTTATCGATTCAAAAATTTAAAATTTAAAATTTAAAATTTATTATTTATTTATTTTGTTTTCTAATTCCCAATCCCACCTAAACCTCTAATAATTGACTAATTTTTCCTAATTAACTAATTGATTCTCTTGGCTCATCATCTTCTAAAAGCACCAATGAGGGGTTGGATCAAGTGGTAAGCGGCTTGTTCCAGCTTAAGCAAGGTCTCAAATTCGAGATCTTGTGTACGCAGCAGCTTTCGTTGGGAGACTCATCCACCATTTCCAGGTGCGCGACGCG